TTTTTAGGTAACTTACTTTCAAATTTGGAATTGACTCAAAATTAAAAAAATGATTTCTAAAATAGAAAATCTTTTATTTTAGGAAACTTTTCATTTTTGAAAACCTTTTTAAAATAGGAAACTTTTCAAATTGCAAACCTTTTCCAAAATCATTGCTTCTCTTTTATTATGTGAATGCTTAAACTTATGTATATGACTCAATATGCTCCTAGATATATTAGTAACGTATTAAAAATAAAAGACCACTTTTATTTCTTGATACATAAATCAAGATTGGCCTCTAACAAGACATCATGACTACCTAATTTTCTAAGAGGATCAATTGATCCGTAATTACCTTTTATGAGCATGGTTATCATTCAATTTAGTCCTCGTGTCAATTTACCATAGTATGATCTCAAATTTAGTTATTAGTACGTTCGATAATGATCACACAAGTTTTCTTCGATTCTCAAATGTCTTAACTCTTAAAGTAAATCAACTATGCTCTATTGGTGTACTAGTATTATGGCTATAGATTTCTTAGCGGACATTCATGGAATTACAATGTGATAACTCTTTTAGCATATAAGGAATGAGATGTCTTATCTTAGTCATCCACCTACCTCTATTAGATTCCTAGTGCACCCAACGAATTGTCCACATGCAACCCTTTACTCGGGTCCATCAAAATAAGTATCAAAGTACATAAATCCTCTAATGAGATAACCGTGATGACTTCAAGTCAAAGAGTCGATTATACTCATCTCGTATGAGATTCCCATAGACTAAACCAAATGGGTTCTCATGACGAGTCAAGTCCGATGATATGGTTTCTAACACAAATCACGTAAGTGCTTGCTTTGGTATCACCATGCCAATAGGTGTGAGATCTTCTATTGCTATCATATAACATGACCATAGCACTCATAAGTCTAACCACATATAGTCAATATCCATTCTTAACAATACTATGACTTGAAACATTTAATGATATTATTTAAGTGCATTAATGTTTATCTCACATCTTTCGATCAATCGGTAATGCAAATGCATATCATATAGACTTTTATTTAATTTTATTTAATAAATAAATATAAACAATAATAATTAATAGAAATACTTCTTTTATTATTGATAAAATAAATAATACAATGATACAATAACTCAAACCATTTAATCAAGGTTGGATCTTGGTGCCTTACACTAACAAATTAAAATAATTAACAATCCTAAAACTAAAATTAGAAGATGTAGGGATCCAAATGAAAAAATTGAAAGAATCAAGGACCAAAATTGCATGACTAAAGAACCTAATTGGGAAAAATGCGAAATGCAAAGGGACTAAATTAAAAATGAGCGACGAATGATAAAACAAAATTGGCGAACGATCGTTGTTCGATGTAACCAAAATTAATTCCCCTTAATTACTACCGCCTATCATCGTCTTCATTGAAGATAATTCTCCCCAAAACGAGAAACGATCCTTTATTAGCAACGAGTACCAATCAAGAATTATGTTGTACCACATTTGCACCATAGCAAACTCTCCACCCCGCACCACACTCGCTCACACACATTTCGGTTATCGATTAATGGCCAAATTGCAAGAGTTTTGTCTTTGATTTTTAGTGGTAAGGACTAGGATTGATTAGGGGGATCCTAGGGTTGATGAGAGTTTGGTTTTGGATATAAATATGGTAGGATTATTTGGTTTTTAGGCAAAAAGAAAAAGGGAGGAATTTCTAGGTCTCGGGCATTTTTCTTTTCCGGGTTTTTAATTTTTAGATTAAGAAGAATTATGGGTTTGAAGGGTAAGGAATTTAGGTTTGAAGGGGAAAAATTCTAGGTTTCAAGAGGAAAAGATTTTTGGGTTTGACATAAAGGAAACCCGAGAAAGAATAATAAGGAAAGAGCATAGGAGCCAAAACACAAAGCCATAGTAGAGAAGCAAAGATTAAATCCATAAGTTCTCTATTTTCTTGGATACTGGAATAGAGAAGTCATTTGAAAAGGGAGCCTCACTATCTATCCTTTATTTAAGTTTGATTCAATCTCTCACCACCATACCAAGATCATTAGGTAATTTCTTCATCCTTTTTGTGTTTGTAATTTAGAATCATGTTTCAAATGTATTTCCTATACATTCATGAACATCGAAGACAATGACTTCATCATTGTTAGTATGAAGAACCCAACATCATGAATAAAATCAACCCGTTTGGTCATAGTTATTGTCCGGAACACCTAGGAAGGAGGATGAAGTTTTAGAGGTTCGCGTAAGTAATGAGTGATGATCTATTAGTTTTGTGAGATATGAACAATATATGGTATAAAGAAAAGAATGAGAAGATACTTGGGAAGAGGGAAAGAAAAGGAAGAAAAGAAAGGAAATAGGTTTGTATGCTAGGAAAGAAATAAGACTTGGGCTTGTTTTGTTTAGTTAGGATGGAGTCTGGATTGGGTTGGCTAGTTTTAAGACGGATGGGCTCGGGCTAGGCTTTGGTGGTTTCGGAGGGAGTGGATCACGGACTTAGGCTTGAATTTAGGCTAGTCCAAAAAGAGTAAAAGCCTAATAGGCCATCCTAGTGGGCTCGGGCCAATGGATCGAAGGCCCAGCTGAGCCCAAAGGACCCAATAACCTTATTTTTTAGGTAAATCGGTTCGATTTTTTTTAATATATGCCTTTTATTTCTCCTAGTTTAGGTTTAGTATTTTAATTTTTTTGAGTTTTTTTACATCTATTTATTTACTTAGTCAATATTTAATTTTAGGTTTTATTTCAATAATTAGATTAGATAATTAATAAGTTGATGAATCGTCGAGTCTCTTAATTTTTAGGGACCGATGATGATTCTTCATAAAAAAAAATTAAGATAGATATAAAAAAAGAAAAGAAAAATGATTAGACAAAAAAAAAAAAAACAGAGAGAAAATTTTATGTAAAAAATAAAAATAGATAAAAATGAAAAAAATAGAAAATACTAGGTGAAAATTAACAAAATCGTCTATCTAATAAGGATTGATATTAACACAAATCAACCATAATGTTGAGACTTAAATTGAATCCAATGTTGAATTGATGAGACTTCAGACGATGGGGTTCGACGATCGGTTCAATATGACGTCACAAAGAAAAATATAAAAAAATTAATTTTTCTTAGGAAATAAAACTTGAAATGTTGACTTATGATTAATTTTGGCAAAAATATAAATTTTTAAGAACTAAGTTTTAGGACTAAACTAAACATGGTAAATTTCTTAGGAAATGATGATTTTGGGTGATTAATATCTTTCCAAAGGCATAATCAACTTCTTATTTTAGAATTTTTTAACCAATGTCAATTTTAAGTTCCTAATTACCTTGAATGCTAGGTGGCAACTATGAAATTAATAAATAACTGACAATCCCTAAATAAATATGATTTTTTAATAAATAATAATCATAAATTTTTTAGAGTCCCACAAACGTTAGGTAGTAATGAATGAAAAAGATGTATTGAATTTAACAACACTTTTAGAACTATTATTGTCCTAATTGTGGCAAAACTATCTTGAATTGATTATTTCGTATTACTCACGACTCTACCTTGACTATTTTTGATTTGCAAATATTTTATCAACTTGTCCGTAAAAATTAATTAAGAATTTAGTTAATTTTATTATGTATCAATTCATTTTTTTCTTTTTTGGCATGAGCCCAAACAATATAATAAATAGATTGGATCAAGAATAAATCTTATCCAACACAAGGTTTTAGATCGCATAAGAATGAATACGGATATTGTTGTAGAATTAGTGTCCATGCATTGTCTTTAGTTTACACTATAGAGATTGACTTAGTATGTTTGGAGTACGGTCCGCTAAAGACGTCATAGTCTGTTATTTTCTTTAATTTTTGTTAAAAAGTTGAAGCAGTATAATTCTAAAGAATCTAGTTTTTTCAACTTGAATCTAACCATCTAATTGTGAATGGCGTGATATAATCTTAACAAAAAAAAAAATTATTCTTGTTTCATTATAAATATTAACCTTATAGAATTTGTGAGGAGACTCTAACTTTCTAATCTTTAACAAAACCTCAAAAAAAATTATTTCAAAACTTTATCACTCACATACAAGATGAAATTTTAAATTTCATCTGCTTGAATTTTGATTACTTACTTATCTATTACTCAATTTATATATTGCTAGCTCTTTATTTTTTCTCATTGACCTTTGGCTACTTGCTTCTATTCTATTGATTTATTATTATTTTTACAAATTAAAATACCAATTCTCTGAATCTTAATCGTTTTACATACTATTTGTTTAATCAATTTTTAAGAACCCCAGATAATATCTTATGACCGATGATTGGAACCCAACAAATAAAACATCACTGAATCACGTTCCAAATTTGCGCTCACTAATCTCAATTAAGTACGACTTCTCAGGTATTGCTATTGCCACACTCAAAACTGTTATCCGCACACCAATTGGATAGCATGCAGCATAAAAGGCATTCTGAATTCACGGGTAAGATAAAATGATATCCACACAGAAAACGTGACTTGGGACGCCAGTAGTACCTAGAGATAGCCGTAGTAGTGATCTGGCAGGCAAAATAATTAATTACATAAATCCAATGTACGGCAATATTTATATCCCAAACTCCAAGCCAGGCAAGTTACATCAGGCTAGACTCATTAATCGTTGGTTGACAGAATAAAACTGTTGGACCACTAAACTCACATGGAAGGTTGGCCCCTTGTACTTCTACTCATTTTACATTTTATCTAACGAACTTTCTCTTTCTTATAATCCAAAAACTAAATTAAAAATGGTTAATTACTCCTCCAAGTTTATTTTTACAACACTGAAAAACAATCCTCCACTGTAAAAACACCCCTATATATATACCCTACTTCATCAAGCATTAGCCACACAAACACACCACCTGTTCTTGGAGTCCTCTCTCTCTCTCTGTGAATAAATTTCCTCCCAAAAAACATTTTTTTTCTTTTTGGTCTACGCCTGTCATGGCAGACCCAAGCCCATTGCTTCCAGTTTCCCATTCTTTAGAACCCAACTACAGTCCCATCCCAGAGGGGACCAGCTCCAGCGGATGTCCGGCAACCCATCTCCGACGATCCTGGAAAGTACTCCTCGTGGTCTGTTCTGGGTTGTTTCTTGTTTCTTTAATTTTAGCTATAATTAATAATAACAATGGAGTTCAATTACAACGTTTCCAATCTTCACAAGAAGATAGAAATGTATCTTTGGCAACGTCCAACGAAACGGCGAAACCGGAAACTCTGATGCCCGCAGGATCACGGGGGGTGTCGGCCGGTGTGTCAGAGAAGGCAAATGTGAATTTGAAGGGAGCTCAAGTGAAAGATTATCCGTGGAACAATAGCATGTTATCATGGCAGAGATCTGCTTTCCATTTTCAACCTGAAAAGAATTGGATGAATGGTACAGTTCTAACTTCTCACTGTTACAAATTATATTTCTTTTTTCTTTTTCTTCTTTTTTCATTCAAAGTTCACGTTGTCCAAAAAAGTGGAATACCTTTTGGACGATTTGGAGAAAATTCTTAGCACGTTTTCGCATTTAAAAATTAGGATCAATTTTAATTTATCTCCCTACAGTTTGAAAGGTTTGTCAATTTCTCCTTTTAAGATTTCATTTCTATCAATTACCTTCCTGAACTTTCAATTCTTTCTTTTTACCTTTAAAATTAACTTAAGCAATGATATGATATTTTTTTATATTCCAATTAATTTTCAAAAAATTTAAAAAGTCTTAATTAAATACGTACTTTTCAATCATGATTAAAATTTCTATATTAATCCTTCAAAACATATTAAACTTCATAAATTCAAACTAATAATTAAAGATGTGACATTTCCTAATTAAAATAATAATATTTTTTATATTGTTTTTTCTAAATTTTTATAAGATCAATTTTGTGAATTTTGATATAATTAAAGAGTAAATATTTAATTGATATATATATATATATTAAGAAGTTGGTTGAAATATAAAAATATCATATAATTGGTCATGTTAGTTTAATAGATATAAAAAAATTAAAATTATAATGAAGTTTTTAAAAAATAATGGATACAAAAGAAATCTCAAAAACAGTTTTTAAAAAACCCGTCAAACTTAAAAAGAATAAATTAAAAATTACTTGGAATGGTGGCCCTCCTCCTAGTCCTATTGAACTTTCAGCACCGTCCTGTCTTGGATTCAACCATAAAATTGTGGTTGTGTGGGCCACTACTTATGTGGCAATAATTAATAAAATTAGTTCCAGGTCCATTTCTCACACGGTTCCAACAGTCAATTTTGTTACACGTTGTGAAAACTTATGGACAATGTTTTGTTTTTTTAAATTGGTATGACCAAGTACAACGCTGGTGATTGAAAAATTCTTTATAAAATTACTTTCCAAATTAAAGCATAAGACTTTCTTTAAGAAGTGATTTCGTGATTGGCTTTGTCAACATATGAAAAAGAAGATATATTTTTTTCCTTTACTTAGTATCTAATAGCTTTGAATAAGAAACTGTCATAATTGGTGTATATGTTCGCCTATTCATATTCTTTCCTACGGATATCGGGAGGATGAAATGGAATTCAAAATTCTAATTTGATCATTTCATCATTAAAGACGTACCTATATATATTATGCAGTGCTGCATTTGTTTTCTTGGTCAATGGTCAATAATACAAATTTTGATTGGATAATCAACTAGTAATCCTTTTTTTTTCTACTGTTGAGTTGAGATTTTATTTTATGCTGATTTTTTCCCTTTTCTTAATGGTATGTTTCACCGACTTTTGATTGCTATGGTGGGGGAATCTGGCACGTTCTTCTTCAGATCCTAACGGTATGACTTCTTCCTTATTGAATGTTCATAAGATTTCGCTGGGAGCGATGGGTCAGATTCGTACTGGATATGAATTCAGAATTAAGATAATCCACGATTTGTATCTATGCTGATTTTTGTCATATTTGCTGTTAAACTGTTTTAATCACCAAAGGTGGGCTGCAAAATTTAGAAGTCAAGGAAAGGACAAGTTAGACTAGACAAAGCTTAATCAAATGTAATACTTATCCAATTATGAATCTTACCAGTATTGTATCAATAGATTACTTGCCTGAACATGAATAATTCAAATTTATCTCCAGCCAACCAACCAGCCTTGCGATTGTCCTAATATTGTCAACGACTAATTGGATTACAAAGTGAAAAATCAACTCCAGGGTCAGTTTAAAAATTGAAGCCATTATTAACTCCTGTGTGCTAAATTGATATTGTCCTGTGTAAATTACAGGTCCTTTGTATTACAAGGGCTGGTACCACTTCTTCTACCAATACAATCCAAATGCCGCAGTGTGGGGTGACATAGTTTGGGGCCATGCTGTATCAAAAGACTTAATCCATTGGCTCCACCTCCCATTGGCAATGGCTGCCGATGAATGGTACGACAAGAACGGTGTCTGGACTGGCTCTGCCACAATCCTCCCTGATGGTAAAATTGTAATGCTGTACACTGGATCCACTAAAGAGTTTGTTCAGGTACAAAATCTTGCATATCCAGCTGACGACAATGATCCTCTCCTCCTTAACTGGGTCAAATACTCTGGCAATCCAGTTTTAGTCCCACCACCAGGCATTGGTCCCAAGGACTTCCGTGACCCAACAACAGCTTGGAAAACTTCCGAAGGGAAGTGGCGCATTATAATAGGATCCAAAATTAATAAAACTGGCATAGCTTTAGTCTATGATACTGAAGACTTCATAAATTATGAGCTGTTGAGTGGGGTACTTCATGCTGTCCCTAGAACTGGCATGTGGGAGTGTGTGGACTTTTACCCTGTGTCAACAACAGGTCTAACTGGATTGGATACATCGATTGATGGTCCTCATGTGAAGCATGTGGTCAAGACAAGCCTTGATGATGATAGGCATGATTACTATGCAATTGGGACTTATGATGACAAGGCTGGAAAGTGGTATCCAGATAATCCAGAGATTGATGTTGGTATTGGTATTAGGTACGATTATGGCATATTCTATGCCTCCAAGACATTCTATGATCAGAATAAAGGAAGAAGAGTGTTGTGGGGCTGGATTGGAGAGTCTGATAGTGAAGTTGCCGATGTAAAGAAAGGATGGGCATCGCTTCAGGTATGTTCAATGACTTGCAAATTGGCTTGATCTTCAGAAATGTTGTATGAGTTAAAACTTCAACCACTTTCTTTATCAACAAGGACAACTATTAGGGCACCTGATAGGGCTACAAACACACACTGGCTTTGTTTTATATACTTAATTTTTCTTTTTTATATATAATAATGTTGTGATTTTACAATGCTACCCTGCAGGGCATTCCAAGGACAGTTTCGTTAGATACAAAGACTGGTAGCAATCTGCTTCAATGGCCAGTCGAAGAGGTAGAGAGTTTGAGATTAAGGGGCAAGGAATTCAACAACGTAAAGGTTAACTCAGGGTCAGTTGTGCCGCTTGAACTCGACGGAGCCACACAAGTTTGTATGCGTGTAATTTTGTAACTAAATTATAGTAATATCAAGAAAACCTGTTTGACTTACACGACGAGAACTCGTTACAGCTAGACATCGTTGCCGAGTTTGAGTTAGACAGGAAGGCTTTAGAGAGCACAGCTGAATCCAATTTGGAGTTCAGCTGCAGCACCAATGGTGGGGCTAATCACCGCGGTGCATTAGGACCGTTTGGTCTTCTGGTTCTTGCAGATGACAGTCTCACCGAGTCTACTCCCGTATACTTTTTTGTTGCCAAAGGAAATAATGGAACACTCAAAACTTTCTTCTGCACTGACCAATCAAGGTGATACTAATGGATCGTGGTGCACTTAATTGTAAAAGCTGAGGTTCTTATAGTGCTTGCGGTAGAGGTTGATTTAATGATCTTCATGATTTATAAATTTTGTTTTGCAGGTCTTCTGTGGCAAATGATGTTAGGAAAGAAATTTATGGAAGCTATGTTCCTGTATTAGAGGGTGAAAAGTTATCAGTTAGGATATTGGTGAGTTGAGACAGACTAGTAGTAATTATTGCTTCTTGAATATTATGAATTGTCTGTCATATGTATGATTAATGGGATCATCATCATCATGAATCTGATTCTGTGGATGTTAACCAGGTGGATCATTCAATAATCGAAAGTTTTGCACAAGGTGGTAGGACATGCATAACATCCCGGGTTTATCCGACAAGGGCAATCTATGGTGCTGCTAGGCTGTTTTTGTTCAACAATGCTACCGAGGCCACTGTCACTTCCTCACTCAAGATCTGGAATATGAATTCTGCGTTCATACGCCCATATTCTAATCAACAACACTAGCTGTTTAAATTATATTACCTTTAGTCTACCTAAATGGCCTCCATTTTTTACTGCAACTCTTCTTCTTTCTGCAACCCCATTTTTGTATAAAAATTTCCACCGCATTGTATTTTTATTTTTATTTTTTTGGCCATCAAGGGGGAAAGGTAAAATGTGATGATTGCCTGTAATTGGTTCTTTTTTTTTTTTTTCCCAAGGAAAAGGAATCTGCAATTGATTGTAAGAATTATCCATTTAATTTTGTGTTCTCTCTCATATTCATGTGCTCAACTGATCTCGAAGTTGTTAGTTTTATAAAATGACTTTAACTTCTTTTTTATTTCAGTTTGACTATTAAAATATTTTGTATCACAATTCATAATGTTACTGTCAAACTCACTTTCTAATGCTATTGTTTTTAGTGTGAATAAAATCTAAGCTAAGAGGATTGGCTATAGTGAGATATAAGAGGATTGATTAAAGTGAAAGAGCTTTAATTGTTTAAAAAAGTGATTTCGATTTCTAAGTCATTGTTTATATAGAAAACTTTTTGGGTAGTTATACTCGCTTTATATATTTGATCGAATAACCAAAAATTAGTCTGGAACTTTGATCCCGAGATATCTTATGAATTAAAAAAAAAAAATCCACGTCAATGTGTTTTTAGTTTCTTTTTACCATCAAAGCAAGTTCATTGTTCAAGTAGAAATAAGGCCCACGGCCTGCAATTTAAAGGCCAGAGTCCAAGAGATAAAGGACTAGACCCTTGGGTTACCTCTGTTCTACCAAGTCCAGCTGTAAGTTAACTTCTTAAAAGGTTACTTATAAAACCCAAACCCATCAGAAAATGGTTTGAAAACCTTGTCATAGGCGTAAAAAGAAACTTTTTTTTTTTTTTTTTTTGAGATTAGTATTAATAGGCAACATTAAATTAATTGCCGGGAACGATTAAAAAAAAAGAAAACAATTACTGGGAAGCACCAAAAAAGGAAAACAAGTTATTTTCTGGGAGTGAGGTTGATGTTTATATGGAATGGAACACCAGATGAATAAAATTACAAGTATAGTTATTTAGATTTAAAATAAATAGAGGATGGTTTGTGGGTTCCATGTTTGCAATCGTTTTAGCAATATATATATATATATATATATATATATATATCTATATATATATATACTGGTGGAAGTTTTGGCAAATAATTTGCAAACTAATTCTATGCTGGAATTAATGTACGTACTTGCTTGTTCCAAACCGTGCGAAGGAAATATGATTTTCACTGGTACCATTGGAGAAAAGAATGTGTACAACAGTAGTACATGTCAACACAAAAGCAAACGTTTTCTTACGTTTGGGGAAAACATAAGAATGTCCCCTAGTGCTTAAGTAACTCAAATTCTCTATTCATGTTTCCTTTTTTTTTTTCTTTTTTTTTTTTTTCGCCGTGCCATGAATGAAAAAATTACTATTGTTATTTTCAGTGTAAACTGTAATTCTCAAAGGTGAAGGATTGATGAAACAAGCAAGAAGAAATTGGTAAAATGTTGGACCTCGATTGTTATTGATGTTTTACCACAGTTATAAAGGTACCATACAAGTGTTTTTTCTGCAAAAAATCTAATAGATATTGTACATAAAAAAATCAGTGTTATTTTTTTAAAAAGCTTCTTTTTTTTCATCATCAGTACCGCAATATGAAAAACATACTAAAATTTTTTTCGGCAAAAAGTATTCATAAATGATAAATTATCGAATCTATGCCCGTTTTAAAAATTATATATTTTTAATAATCAAGCCCTTGGTGCATTGGAGAAGATTGCTGCTGGATTTACGGAAGATTCGTGCCTCGTCGATTCATTTGATAGCACCAGTTTCTTATCTGTGTTTTTTTTTAATGAGAACATCATGAGTTTATGTCGGTGGTGTGGATGAAGATTCTGATATTATCATTGTTTTAAAGAGTTGTAGTTAAAGTGATAAAATGGGTTAATTGTTATTTTTATAGGGAAAAAAAGAAAAAGAAAAAACAAGTGTCAAGATTTATTATAAATGTATAAGTATGACTAGGCACAAGATTACGGAATGGACAGTAGTCCGAGGAAATCAAGATACATTCCTTCTTCAATTTCAAGAACCATAAGCAGAGCTCTTTTTGTCTGTTTGCAAGTCTAATGATATTGGGGGAATACCCCGATTGGATGGAAGATTTTCACAACCAATCTCTCGTTAAAGTTTTCTTAAGTTTGGTGTAGTGTATTCTCAAATAAATGAATTGGAATCATGCTTAGTATTTGAATGTAACTTTCTTAGTTTTTATATATATATATTTACATAACATAAGAAATGTAGCTATTTACTATAAAACTAAAACAAATAAAAAAAAGTGATAGTGTTTTATACTATTCATTTAGACTCATCTTTGCTGTGGACGCAAACAGTGCAGCTTTCCTTTCTTTCCGCTTTTCTTTATTTTTGTTAAACACCTGTGCAAATCAATTGTTTTATACTTTTTTTGTTTCAGCCGTTGGATCGAAATTTTACACTATTCATTTGAACAGTAACGGCGGCTAAGGTCTTTTTTTCTTTTGGTTACTGCAACTTAGTTTTTTTTTCATTTACTATTCATTTGAACAGTACCCGCGCCTTTTTTTTTTTTTATTAAATAACTGCAGTTAGAATTAATTCTTTTTTTCCCCGTTCACCGTTCATTTGAACGGTACCCACGACTCTTTTTTTTTTTTTTTTAAATAACTACAATTAAAATTTTAAAATAACCAACAATTAATTAGATGCTAAAAGGAATCAACAATTTATTTCCTTTATTATTTATTTCTAAAGTTTAAAATATAAGTCCATTTAATATTTTAAAAAAGTTACATATATTATACTAAAAAATTTAGTACTAAAATAAGATATTTTTGCATTATTAAAAAAAAGATATATCAGTCCATTTAATATTTATAGTGGTGCATTTTAGTAAATAAATTATTTTTTAATATATTTTTTATTAATTTTTGTAATTTTCATGTTGTTTCATTTTCATGCTTAAAAATTTTAAATAAAAATTTTAATCTCCTAACTAATGCACTACGCATGTCTTTTTTTCTTTGATTTTTTTTCTTTACTTTTTTCCATCAATTTGTATTCTTTTTTTATTTAATTGGGTGTTAAAATTTTGAAAACTCATTTTTTCCTTTGCTTTTTTTTTTCCAATTAATTTATGTTTTTTCTATTTAATTGGGTGTTAAAATTTTGAAAAATAAATCGTAACTTTTTTCACACAAACATATGAATATATAATATATCTTTTTATATTTTAAAATTAACATATACTTCAGCTTATATTACTCTTATTATTAAATTTTATTATTTGAATTTATCATTTTTAATGAAAACTCTCATCCAATTAATATTTTTTGTATGAAATTTCATTTATTGATATTATATAATTTATTTTTCTATGTGTTTGAATTTTAGAATAAAATTTTAAAATATGATTTTTTTCTTTTTTAAAAAATAAATTGGTATAATATATATCATGAATTTTTAGATTTTTTAAATGATAATTGCACATACACACACACACACACAAATATATATATTTTATTCTAAAAGGTTAAAAGTATATTTTAAATAATTTATCTCGGTTTACTAGGTATGGTCAAGACGTATAAAAAAATTATTGAATTGATAATTTTATTAAAAATTAACTATACATCATTCAACATAAGACAAATTATTTATAATAAATATTCTTTAACATTATATAATCAATTTATCTGAAATTAAATAATTAAAGTAATTTTTTAAAGTAACCAACCAATTATTCAAATACTATTTTTTTATGCTAATTATATTGATTATTTTGTAAGTAAATATTTAGATATCAAATGCATATACTTGAAAAAAAAAAAAAAACTTCTCACCAACATTAAATAAAAATAATTTTTTTTCATTGGTTAATTTTTATACAAGTCTATACATTAATTGTAACTTTATTTTTTTGCATACATTCTTATAAAAAAAGAAGAAGATAACTTTAAACTGTTTTTTTAATTCTTAATTAATATTTCAGGTTTGAATTATTACAAATTTTTATTTAAGAATCCCTGAATAAAAAATAAAAAATTATATTTTTTTAAGTAGAAGTTTTATGAAAAACACAAAAAAGGGTAATAATTAAATAAAAAATTAATGAAAAAATTATAACATTTTGAAATAATTTTGTTCTATTTGCCAATAGCGTTGCACGGATAATTTTAAAAATTAATTTTCTTATCTATGTTAAATAATATTTTTTTGTTTCATTTGTTAATTTTTATAAAAGTCTGCCCATTAATTATGACTTTATTTTCTTGAATACAATATTGTGAACATTATATTTTTAATTTTTTTTCAATTCTTGATTAATATTTTGGTTAAAATTATTAAAATTGTTAATTTTAAAATCAATCCATGAGGAAGAATGATTTATTCTTTTAAATCATAAAATTTATAAAAAATATTAAAAATTTTAAATTTTAAAATAATTTTATTATATCGGATTCGTGGCGTAGTGCCAGCAATCGGCTCGTTTTATTCTATATTTTGATAGGGAAGATTGTCCACGCATCACATCATTATTTTATATGGAAAGATCTTGAGAGCATCTATATTTGCATTGAAACTTACGATAACTATAATTATATGTGAGGACATATACATGCCACAAAATACAGGACAAATGAAATTCGAACTCTCAACTTCACAAATAAATGCTCCATAAAAAATTTACTGCCATGCAAATTCATTGTTGATTGTCATAAATTTCTATACAATGAAACATATGATTGCTTAAAAGTATTATTTCATAATCTTTTCATTATCTCTAACCGAATCCATTTTGGCTGCTTCTTTTGCTACTGGTGCCTTTACTATTAGAGCTAAACAGCTTTGAATTGATCTTGCTAGACCATCAAGCACTTTTTTTTTGTTGTTTCTACATACCATACTAAAACCTGCTTTAGCAAAACTACTGGAGAAT